CATCTGCAAGCAGCAGTTCAACAACCTGGACGCCTTCGTGGGGCACAAGCAGAGCGGCTGCCAGCTCACCAGTGCCACCGCCGGCGCCACCAGCACCGTCCAGTTCGTGTCCGAGGAGACTGTGCCGAGCACACAGGCTCAGAGCAGCAGCAGGACCATCGCCTCCGAGACACAAACCATCACAGGTACCCCCAAATCCTCACAGGTACCAAAGCTTGGTGCACAAACCGTCATAGGTACCCCCAACCCTGCACAGGTATCCCCAAACCATCACAGGTACTCAAATCTGCACCGCTACCCAACCATCACAGGTACCCCCAAATCCTCACAGGTACCAAAGCTTGGTGCACAAACCGTCATAGGTACCCCCAAACCATCACAGGTCCTCAAATCTGCGCCGCTACCCAACCATCACAGGTACCAAAGCTTCACAGGTGCACAAACTGTCACAGGTACCCCCAAACCTTCAAAGGTGCCCAACCCTGCACAGGTACCAAAACCATCACAGGTATCCCCAACCCTGCACAGGTATCCCCAAACTGTTACAGGTACCCAACCCTGCACAGATACCCCCAAACCTTCACAGGTACTCCCAACCCATCAGAAGTACCCCCAGACTTTCACAGGTACCCAAACCTTCACAGGTACCCAGCCATCACTGAGGCACAAACCTTCACAGGTATCCAACCATCACAGGCACCTCCGTGTCACCTGCCAGGTGCCAGCCCTCTGTCCCTGTGTCCCCATCACCCAGCTGAAATAACAGTTTTCACATCAGTTGTCACATAACTAAGGAAATGAAATAGTGCTGTGCTGCTTTCTTGGGTTTCTTCTAACAATAGTTGCTTAATTTGCTAATTGAGGTACAAGTTCTCTCAGAGAATTGCTCAAGTCTATTGTGTTGTGGAACCAGCTTGTGCGAATTAATTAGAATTGTCGATACTTATGAAAAATACTGAAATTACTATGCATTTTATTTTTTTAAGAGTGCTCTAGATGGAAAATATACACAGAATTGCTGTCAGGCACCCATCCAGACCTTTTTATGTGAGAACACTGCATTCCCTAACATTGCTCCCTCAACTAATTGGCAGGAAAAATATTACTCAAAATTTCTGCCTATGTGAAGATTCAAGTAAGGTCCTGATCCTGGAGACATTTAAATAAAATTAGGATCTTGTTCCGTGTGTGAAGGTTTGCCCTTCTATATATAGTTTTGTTTTATTTTGGTGTGGGACCTTGCTAAACCCCAAATTATTTGACTCTAATTTGGACAGACAGGTTAAGGCAGAGAATCTGGAAGAGCAGTGAAACAAACTGAATTCAGGGCCCACTTCCAGGAATTTTTGTATTATAATCCCTCAACTCAGTGTGGGTTTTGGGTGAGTCATTTTTCTGCTTCATATTTACTCATCTTTAAAATGAGGACAGTTCTATCCATTTGCCCTTTTGGGCTATAGTGTTGGTTAATTGATTTAAAAGCTGTTACTTTGGCTGAGATATTTTCACCTGTTATTCTTGTGAGTAACAGCTAAAAACAGTAGAGTTGAAAGAGGCTGAACTTTTTTAACAATTACAAAAATAATTTGTGTGATGCCTTTTGACAACATTTGCCATATAAATAGTGATACTTTTTTCTCATTTGGGCTGTAACACAGACAGAGTTGAAAAACAAATATATCTTTATTTGGTATTTGGAAGAGAAAAACCTTTTTCCTTTCCTCCTCCCCCAGGTAAAGAGCAACCCAGGAACAGGAATGTTGCTAGGAAAAAAAAACAGAAAAGAGAATTCATTAAACTAGGCAATAACTAGATTTTTTTTTTTTAATCTGATTAGAGAAGTTAATGCTTCTCATGAAGTTTTTTGTGTGTTTAGTTTCTGCACCAGAGTTTGTTTTTGAGCATGGCTACCAAACCTACCTGCCCAGCGAGAGCACGGAGCCTCCAGCTGCTGCTGTCGTCTCCACACCACCAAAAGCAAGGTCCAAGAAATCCTCCTCCTCCCTGCCCCTGAAGAAACTCAGCTGCCTGTACCCAGGTGAGATGGGATTGCACCATTTGAGTGTGGAGAGCTTTCCTCTAGTGGCACACAGGAGGTTTGATGCCTGCAGCAGTTCTGGAGTGAGCTGCCTCTGAGGGGAAGCGTTAGAAAACTCAAGTTCACAGGTGGGCTGGTCACTGTTTTAAGCAGATGTGAGTAAACAAAATGAGATATTAACTTTCTGTTAATAGTGAATTTTAAAGAAAATGCTGTTGAAAATAAACACGTCCAGAATACGGTAATGTACTTTTATTATTTGCTAGATTTTCCTTGAATTTAATGATCTTTGTCCTCCTGTTTTCAGGGTGCCAGTTCAAGACTTCCTATGGTATGAAGGATCTGGAACGTCATCGGCGAACGCACACAGGTTTGTGTTCCTATATTTGCTTTTGGGTTGGTTTCCTCCTTTCAGCTTTTTCACAAAAGCCATTTTCCTATGAAGTAATGTCTCTATAAACAGGATGTAGACATGTCTGCACTTTCTAGCATTGTCCTGGCCTGTGCCTGAGGAACTGCCTGTTGGGGACATGCCCTGTCAGGCACAGTTGAGAACACTGGAGGTTGATTTGAGGCACAGCTTAACTTCTGGGTGCACACCATGAGTTTATCAGGGTGCAGTGTGGTGGGAGTGCACACTGCTTTGCTCTTTATATTAAAGCAGTTCCATGATTTTAGCTCCTAATTTTGGAGTTGCAAAGGGAAAAGGCTCCAAAGGCCCTGCTGTTTGTCACAGCCATGCCCTACAAACGAGTCCCTTTTGTGGTCAGTCTGTGCTTTCTGCTTTACCATCCCCGTGCCCAGGGCTGAGTGTGAGTGCTGCTCTTGCAGGAGACAAGCCCCACAAGTGCGAGGTGTGCAGCAAGTGCTTCAGCCGCAAGGACAAGCTGAAGATGCACATGCGCTCGCACACGGGCGTGAAGCCCTACAAGTGCAAGCACTGCGAGTACGCGGCGGCCGACAGCAGCAGCCTCAACAAGCACCAGCGCATCCACTCCAACGAGCGCCCCTTCAAGTGCCAGATCTGCCCCTACGCCAGCCGCAACTCCAGCCAGCTCACCGTGCACCTGCGCTCACACACAGGTGGGCTTCTGCTCTGGAAGGGTTGGAGGGTCACACAAATGATTTTAAGTCGTGTATAGGTGTCCAGATCCCCAAAAGGGATTATCTGAGTTCCCAATGAGTGCCCCTACAAGTGCCAGATCTGCCCCTGTGCCAGCCGCAACTCCAGCCAGCTCACCGTGCACCTGCGCTCGCACACAGGTGGGGCTTTACTCATATCCATGGCACTAAAGGTTAGAAGGTCATGGAAATTATTTTAACTCATGTACAGGTGTTCAGATACCCAAAAGGGATTATCTGAGTTCCCAGCGAGTGCCCCTACAAGTGCCAGCTCTGCCCCTGTGCCAGCCGCAACTCCAGCCAGCTCACCGTGCACCTGCGCTCGCATGCAGGTGGGGCTTTGCTCATAGCCATGGCTCTAAGGGTTGGAAGGTCATGGAAATTATTTTAACTCATAGGTGTTCAGATACCCAACAGGGATGATTTGAGTTCCCAATGAGTGCCCCTACAAGTGCCAGATCTGCCCCTGTGCCAGCAGCAACTCCAGCCAGCTCACCGTACACCTGCGTTCGCACACAGGTGGGGCTTTACTCATATCCATGGCACTAAAGGTTGGAAGGTCATGGAAATTATTTTAACTCATGTATAGGTGTTCAGATACCCAAAAAGGGATTATCTGAGTTCCCAGCGAGTGCCCCTACAAGTGCCAGATCTGCTTCTAAGCCAGCTGCAGCTCCAGCCAGCTCACCGTGCACCTGCGCTCGCACACAGGTGGGGCTTTGCTCATAGCCATGGCTCTAAGGGTTGGAAGGTCATGGAGATGATTTTAACTCATGTATAGGTGTTCAGATACCCAACAGGGATGATTTGAGTTCCCAATGAGTGCCCCTTCAAGTGCCAGATCTGCCCCTGTGCCAGCTGCAACTCCAGCCAGCTCACCGTGCACCTGCGCTCGCACACAGGTGGGCATCTGCTCTGGAAGGGTTGGAGGGTCACACAAATGATTTTAAGTCATGCATAGGTGTCCAAAAGGGATTATCTGAGTTCCCAGTGAGTGCCCCTTCAAGTTCCAGACCTGTCCTCACAGCTCCAGCCAGCTCCTCGTGCACCTGCGCTCGCACACAGGTGAGGTTGTGCCCTTCTAACCTGGGCAAGTGAGCCCTGAGTGAGCACCTGGGGATGCTCGTGGCTCTCTGGTATTTCCAGCAGAATTAGATTTCTGTGCCATTCAATAGTCCAGTAGCTGGGAAGGGATTTTAGACTAACCTTTCTTTTTGGCATTTCAGTCTGTTGCATCTTAAGCAATGGAATTATGCTAAAACTCAAGCCTTAGTTTTGTTGCTTCTTCTATTTTTCCAAAATTTATCTTTTTTTCAAAGCTGTCATGCACACACCCAATTTTGAGAAAAGTAAGACTGGTATGTAGAATATATTTCTTATTGGAATTAAATGAATAATCCTCTAGAAGGTGAATGGTAGTGCCCATTGCTCAGAGCGAGATCGTCTTCACTTGTTGAACTAATCACTAAACATCAGCTTCCTGTGAAACTACTCTTAGAATTAGTAATTCTGTGGTCAGACGCAAATTTTTATCTAAATCCTGGCAGTGTCAGTTAGGGATGGGCAGAAATGTAAAGAAATACAGAGTAGGCCACTCTTTAAACAAACAGAATTTTTTGCTATATTCTTTTTCATATATATTGTGCTACTCTGTATATGAAAATTAAGTCATTGAAATATGAACTGTGCCTTCATCAGCAAAGCAGATAAAAATTCAGTAGCTGAGTGTGCAGCTGAGGCTGTAAAATAAACTAGATGAACAAACAGTGCATCTTCATTAATAAAGTCTGTTTAATACAGATAGTGCACCATGTATCTCAATTATTAAACAGATACATGGATTAGCACAGTAGGCCACAACTCGATTTGAAAAATATGCAGCTAAACCTATGACATATGTAGCTGGATAAGCAAATTATGCAAAATTATACAGCTCTCACAAACTCTATAAAATATTAACTTCTAAAATAAATCAGCCATTTGCAGTTTGATTATTAAAGAGGATAAATGCTTCTTGAACTAAATACACTTTCTTTTTCCTCCTTTCACCAAAAGTGTCTTAGAACCTAAAACCACAATTCTTCCACTTGTTCAAAATAATGCCTACCTAAGGACTTCATCCTTGGATGAAAAATTCAGAGAACTGTATTTTTAGATTTAAGAAAGAAAAAGGAGTAGTTATTTAGTTAGGTTGCTAAGTTTGCTTTGGATTCTTTTTTAATGGCCTTAGAACAGCCTCACTGGAATTGATTAGGGATTAGCAGAGCTCCACCTTAACGTGGTCATGGATATAGTGACGCCAGCCTGCAGATACAGAAAATGCAAAATAATGGGTTTAGATGCGAGTGTGTCAGACCAGGTGATAATACTGTGTCATGAAATTTCTCTTGACTTTGAGAAAGGCGTTGGGAGTTCAGGACGAGGCAGCTGTAGGGGCCCCATCCCAGCAGTGGCCCCTGGCATGTAACCCCTGTGTAACCCATGCCTTCCGTTGGCAGGAGATGCCCCTTTCCAGTGCCAGCTGTGCCCCGCCAAGTTCAAGATCAACTCGGACCTGAAGCGGCACCTGCGGGTGCACTCGGGGGAGAAGCCCTACAAGTGCGAGTTCTGCGAGGTGCGCTGCGCCATGAAGGGCAACCTGAAATCCCACATGCGCATCAAGCACAGCACGGAGAACACCCTCAAGTGCCCCGAGTGCGACTTCCAGTGCGGCAACAAGACCAGCCTGCGGCACCACATCCGCAGCCACCAGCCCGAGCAGCCCGTCAAGTGCTCCGAGTGCAGCTACTCGTGCTCCTCCAAGGCGGCCCTCAAGGTGCACGAGCGCATCCACGGCAAGGAGCGGCCCTTCAAGTGCGACCTGTGCAGCTTCGACACCAAGCAGCGCAGCAACCTCACCACCCACGTCCGCAAGGCCCACGGCGACAGGGCCAAGGGCGGCAAGCGCTCGCCGGACAAGAAGGAAGGGGAGAGGCCGAAGCAGGGCGGCTCCAGGCAGGTCGCCAAGCTGGACGCCAAGAAGGCCTTTAAGTGCGACCTGTGCGACGCGTCCTTCGTGCGGGAGGACTCCCTGCGCAGCCACAAGAAGCAGCACAGCCTGTACAGCGGCTCCAAGAACGGCGAGCTGGCCGTGCTGCAGCTCCAGATGGATCCCGGCCGCCAGCCAGGCGCCCCCATCACCGTCAGCCACCTCCAGGTGCCGCTTCAGGCCGCTCAGGTGGCCCCGTACAACGAGGGCAGAGTCAAGATCATCGTGGGCCACCAGGTGCCTCCCCAGGCCAACAGCATCGTGCAGGCAGCCTCGGTGAACGTGGTGCCGCCGGGGCTGCTGGGCGCGGGCCAGGAGGAGGTGCTGGGCGGCGGCCGCCTGCAGCTGCTGGGCCAGGTCAGCGTGCTGGCCCCGGCCACAGGGAGCACGGGGGACACGGGGGCAGAGCCGGCCGTGCTGCTGACCGCCCACGAGCAGGGCGAGGGCAGCGCCCTGCACCAGGCCCTGCTCCCTGGGGCCGCCCCCGGCCACGAGCCCCCTGCCGGCCAGGCCTTCATCGCCGGCTCCGGCATCAGCTGCTCCGACCTGGAGGGGCTCAACGCCCTCATCCAGGACGGGGCCACCGAGGTGACCGTGGTCAGCGATGGCGGGCAGAGCATCACCGTGTCCACGGCTGCTCCTCCTCCCCCCATCTTCTCGTCCTCATCCCACTCTGAGGGCCCCAAGCAGAGCTACTCCATCATCCAGAGCGGGGCTCACACGGCCCTGCTGTGTCCTGCAGACTCCATCCCCGATTAGGGGCTGCTCTGGGCACGGGGGTGTTCTGGGCACTGGGGCTCACAGGGGCTGCTCTGGGCACGAGGGTGTTCTGGGCACGGGGGCTCACAGGGGCTGTTCTGGGCACGGGGGCTGCTCCGGGCACTGCTCTCTCCTGTGGCAGTGCTGAGCCTGCCAGGAACACACAGCACACGACTGAACACAAGATTTGTCCTCCAGAGCCACATACCTTCCACTTCCACGCTGTGTTTGTCTGTACACTGAGGCATCTCGTGTGTGAGGAGTAGGAGGGTGTGTTTGTATTTCTGTATTTCTGTGCCTCTGCTGCAGAGGCCCTGCTCCTTGGGAAGCAGCTGCTGCCAGTGTCCCCCAGCAGTGACACCCCCGGGTATGGCTCCTGTACTGTGCTGCCTGAAGAAGAATTCCTCTCCTTGTGCTGAATTACCTCCAGAGCAGCCTTGTTGTTTGATGCACAGATGAAAAGACAATAACCTGAGCCCTTGTGGAGTCTGCTGGACTGAGGTCTCAGTTCTGTGCTCTGTGTACATTCAGTGCTCCTGGCTGGGCTCTGAGGAACCCCACTGCTGCTCCAGCCCAGGTGAAATCTGAGGGCTGCTCCTCAGTATCTGTAGAATCAGTAGCCCCTGGCACTTGAGATGCTGGTGCAGAGAGCAGGTGATTGTTTTCAGAAAGTAAAAGAATTTGTCCCTCTGTCAGTAGTAACTAACTCTGTTAGCAGCAACACAAATCCTCTCTGGCATGGTGATGGCTGTCAGAGTGCCTGTGGGTTAAAGAGCAAAGCAACGGGAAATATATTTTTTATAAACACTACTTCCCCTTTGTTTTTATTTTGATGCTGCCTCTTGGGAGTTGAATGGGTGGTAAAGGTGTGTTACAGTTTGGGTCTTCTTTTCACGTTAATTTAAATTTTTTTTTAAATCTTCTAATCCAAGGTTTTTCACTCCAGCAGAAATTCAGATTGGATCACAAGGAGATGGTAATTTATTATTATATTTAAATAATATAGAATATATATATTAATTTATTAAATATAATTTATTAATTAATTTCTTTATATAATTAAGCAAATTAATCCGTTTGTAGTTTAAACAAATTAATCAGTTTGTGGAGTAAATATTATTAATGAATAATTAATTATTATTTATTTATTATATTTATATGATTTATTATGGACATTTTTCTGATGAAAGAATCCCAGGCTGTATTTTGAACTATGCAATTGCCCGTGCACAGGTAGCACAGACTGAAAGCAGTGAATTTGCCCGTCCTGGGTGGTGGAGGTGAACTGCAGGCAGGCTTTCCTCAGCTCCCAGTGTTCCCTGTCATCCATAGGTGGTGCCAGAGGCCCAGGGAAGCTCTGGAGTGTGCTCTGGCTCCTGGATGAGATTTCCTCTTTAACACTTCCCTGTAAAAACATTGCAAAATTCAGCTTTTTAAGACATTACCAAAAGCTCAGCTGTAAAAGTCTCACTTAGGAGAAAAAGCTGCAGATAAAAAGAAATGCCCAAAGTTTTCTGCGAGAAGCAGATCTGGGGCCAAAACCTAACCTCACATTTCATGTAAAATTGATAATATTTTGCTCCCTGGCAATGAATTTCACCCTGTATACAGGTGTCAGGCACTACAGGAATGATAACACCCGAGGGATTTTGGCAAAGCTGCAGGTTTGCAGTGCAGTTTAGCTGTGCTTCCCTTGGCCAGGAGTGTCCCCTCCAGTCCAGAGCCACCCTGAAGATGCCCCAGCTCTGTTATCTGCACTGCAGCTGCTCAGGAAGCCTCGAGAGCCTTCTCAAGTAGGAAACCAGTAGATCTGTCACATTGTAGAGACTCACCTTGGTGCTGGGCCTCAGAGATGAACAGGAAAGATAAGGAAATGGTGTGAGTGAATAGGCAGAGCTTAGTGCTGCTGCTCCAGCCTGGTGTGGCTGATTGCATCATGTGAACAATCTAGAGGCTTCTTCCTCCACCCTGAGAAAAACCAGCTGAGAAGCGAGGCTGACAAGGGGGCAATTTCTTTTCAATTTTCCCTTCCAATATTCTGGCTTGATTTCTGTGTGTGTGACAGTAATGGTGTGTGTGGTTTGGAGCTGGCAGCAGCAGATTGTTTTAATCTCTGATGTTCACTTAATACATTCTTCATGTTATCAGCAGAACCATCCCAGGAGGGAGCCTGGTAATTCAGAACAAGTGTCTCCTGTAGAGCTCTCCTGCTTCTGAGCACATGGTAAATAAATCCCATCCCTCCCTCCCTGAGGTCTGCCATGGCCTCAGAGCTCTGGAGCAAGCTGGCTCTTTCCAGGACCAAATACTGGGATGGATTTTTGTTCCTGCTGCCTGGAGATCCCCACGC